AGATATATCTCCGAAAACGGGGGCAAAATGAAAAATCCACATGGTGCGCAAGAAATGCATAAGGTGGAAAAAGAAATTCTCTAATTTGAAATACCTAATTCAAATTACCTGTAACTCAATTAAACTCAACTCATTCATATTGATTATAAATTTGGGCAAAATTAGACCATAAAGTTCCATCAGCGGTTTGGATTAGGTGCTATTTTTTTGAATAAACTCATCATACCCGACTCACTGTTCACCCCCTAATACTATCTATAGATTATGGATGTTAGAGATGTGGTTTGGATTAGTTTTAAGGGAAAAACTCATATAATTCAAAGATGAATTATTCGTGGTTTAATTTGATCTAATTTAACTCATATAATTCAAAGATAAATTACTTGCGGTTTAACTTGATCAGATTTAATTTTATGTAGTTTAATTAGGATCAGTTTTTGGATATTCAAATTACAAATTATATTTTTTTAATTAAAATTATAAAATATTAAAAAATAATAAATTTAATATAATATATAACATATAGTATTTTAAAAGTTAATATTACAAAATAATTCAATCGACTATTGTTGAAACAAATAAAATGATAAGAAAATATAGATTAAACTAAATTAATAAATAATATTATAAATAAGCATCATCGAATAATAAATTAACATAACATATCGTATTAATAAAAAATAATAAAAAATAAATAACATATTAGCAAAAAATAAACAAGTATATAAATATTTTCATACGATTTGGTTCCGTTTCAAGTAATTTTAAAAAATTAATTTAAAATTAATTTTAAATCAAACGGCTTTTATAAAAAAACATTCATACATATTTAATAATATTTTATTTTTTAATTTTTAATTTTTTTAATTCAACTTACAACTTTTTTCAATTAGAATTTTACTCTAAAAATTCTTTTAACGAATTAATTTAATTTAAAACATTTTATTCACTTTTGAACGCCATAGATCCGATCATAACTTATTCTATCCATAAGAAAAAAATATATAAAAAGAGAAATTATTTGTTAATTTCGTAAAGGTGCGTTGGCGTGAGATGGATCTATAGTTATGATAACGACTGAGCATGGTAGATTTGCAGGGTTCAAGCAGTACAATACAATGGTCAAAGTCGTAGATGCATTTTTTGAATTTCTGTGTTTCAAGCAGTACAATACAATGGTCAAAGTTGAAGATGCAATTTTTGAATTTCTGTGTTTCAAGCAGTACAATACAATGGTCAAAGTTGCAGGGTGCACATAAGATTTGGGATACAATATGAAGGCATGCATAAAAGAAATATAGAGAAATATTGTTTTTAAATATATACATGGATTTTTTTATACATAATAGTCATTATCACAGTAACATACTCACACTAGAGAGCATACGTGACATATGGTAGAAGACTCAAAATAACGGTTTAGTTTCTTATTTGGTTTATAATTAAAAAATGTAATAATTTCTATTTATTTTATTGAAAAACAATAAAATTTTAATTTTATTTTATTTTAACCACTTGAAAATAATACAAACAAATGGTTGTGATGCATCTGTAGTGTAAAACATTTTACACTAATAGTAGATAACAATTAATTTCAATCAAATGAATTTAATTGGTATGCATTAATAATATAAAAAAATTTACGCTGTCAATTAATCACAATCGTTAATTTATTTATAAGATTTAACTTTTATTTTAATTACTTGAAAAATAATACAAATAGATGGATGCAATGCATTAACCGTATAAAACTTTTTACACTAACAATGCATAACAATTATTCTCAAATCAAATATCATTAAATGTGTTTAAATGTTATGTTGAAAAAATGAGTAACATGAATCAAATTTTGTAATGGAATTTTAAAATTGAGGCAAACTAAACTATAATTATTATTGGTAAATTTTTTACTATTTTACTAAATCTATTATTTTTTATTTTAAAACATTATAATTTGTAAATTTAGATATTTAATAATGAATTTTTTAAAAATAATTCTCAAAATTATGTATGTTTTAAAAAAATTTCTAAAATACTCCACTTTCAGATGAGGGTGAAGTGATGTTGTCAGATGAATTGGCGGTAACTTTATATTTTTAACAGGAGGTATCAATTGGATTGACGACTCCATATGATGTTGCGGCATAAAGGATGTATCAATTGGTCTGACACCAGTGTACAAGCAGATTTTTTTAGCATAAATAATAAACATTAATATTTAATTAAAAATAATTTTATATAAATTAACGAGGACGATCAAGTTGGTCATACGAACCACCAGTTCCACACCCCCTATCTACTCTTAATCGTTGTTCTCATTGTTGATTCACTCCAAGTGTTCAAGGATTTGAGGTCTCAAGAACATCATCAGAATCCCCTAAGAAGTTCTTACATCTCTAAGAAATCTTGTGTATGGATCGACAAATGGTCGTAACTGAATGAATTTGCGATCCATATCAGAGTAGTTGGGACGGGTTGAAGGAGTCATTGGTGTGTGGCCTGGAGGATTGAAGGGAGACATTGGTGTGAACGATTCGTTGGAGAAAGGTTGAAATGTTTGTTGTGGTTTTTGAAAGTCATATGGTTGTTGTGATGTTTTTGTGTTTTGCCTAAGGTTTGATGTTTGAGCGTTTTGGCTATGGTATGATGTGTGGGCGTTTTGCGTATGGTATAAGAAAAGATTGATATTATGTGTTCCTTGGGTGTTTTAGCTATATCTTGATGTTGTGTTGGGGGCATATGCATTTTGGGTATCTTGATAATAGTCATTTTGTTGGCGATGGTATAAAGGACACTCTTGGTATTGTGGGGTGTGTCTCACATGTTTTTATTGTGGGTTTGTTTATTTTTGGGTTGGTAATTTTGCTAGGTAGGGGGTTGTGAGTAACATGTCTGATAATTTTCTAAGGGGTTAGATGTTGAAGCTTTTTGTGTTTAAGTGGTTTGTCGTGGGTCATATAAATACCTCTCTTCATAGATAAACCTAATTGCAACCAATATGTACTAAACCATATAAGTATTAGTTGGTCTAGATGGGATTTGCATCACAGGGTCACATAAGACATGGTCACAACGCTTCCTCCATTTACGACACTCAGATTTAGCAAAGTCCTTCCAATTGGCAAAATTCCATTGTTCATTAATTTTTAGTCCGTGCCACTGACCGAGGTCAGTCAGGGGACCGAGATGTTTTGAAGTATTCCGATTTGTAGTTTGACATGGTCATTGTGGTGAATCTCCGTAGTGGTGAATCTGATAATTGGCGTGCATGCAATCCAAATGGTTGCATATTCTTCTCTGACTTCATGTTAATGTTCCAAGTTTAGATATGGACGCCAAATAAATTGTAGAAGAAATAATGATTAGATTATAAAATGGGTAAGATTAAAAATATCAGATTAAAATAAATAAAACAATGGTGCCACACAACAACACAAACAAAAAATTAATAAACTTAACACCATAACATGTCTAAGATATTACAATAATCAAAACAATGTCATCTGCTACAAACATCATATACATAACATCATCGTCATCTCTAACTTGCATGCACATACGCTATATAACATTATTGTCATATGCAATTGAGATGTACAAAATAAACCTCTCGATACTTCTAATTCGTTCTCCATCATTAATATCTCTTCTAACCAACTTTTCAAACTCTTTTTAAGATGCTCAAAGTTTTGGATGTTCCAAAATAGCATTTTATCATCTAAGGTTTTATTGTGGAATAACAAACATGTCCATATCTGTTAACAACATGATAAAACTAGTGATGAAAATGAAAAAATAATTTGAAATGAGGTGTGAATTGTAGCAAATGGTAGGAGACACCTTAATTTATACTAAAAAATTATGTTGGTACATTGGTGTCAGACCAATTGGCGCTTCCTTTATGTATTTGTACACTGACGCCAATTGAATTAACAGCACCTAATTGACGCCTCCACTTAAAAATATAAAGTTATTGTCAATTCAACTGAAAACAATACTTCATCCTCATCTGAAAATGGGATATTATGTGAAATTTTTCAAAACGTAGATTATTTTAAAAATTAATTTAAAAATGTGACTATTTAAATAAAAAATTCTTGAATTATCGCTTAAAAGTAAACTGCATTAAGTTGAATTATTTGAATCAAATTTTTTAATTTTTCAACATAAATCGAATGAAACATGCATACATTTTTCTTTGTTGAAATTTTAATTCTCATCCTCACGTTGAATACCAAATTTCCTTGTCCCCCGTCAACCCTACCTTTATAAAATAATGAAATTAAATATTCTATTTTTATAGTTACTATTAAAAATAACTATTTAATAATGATATTAAAATAATTATTTCATCAAAACTAATATATATATATATATATATATATATATATATATATATATATATATATATATATATATATATATATATATATATATATATATATATATATATATATATATATATATATATATATATATATATATATATATATATATATATATATATATATATATATATAACTTGACGAATATAGGAAGTCGCTAGGAAGTCGCAAGGAAGTCGCAGTATCAATATTTGCCCTAACTTGATTTTGAATGTTTTAAGTTTTGTTAACCGACTAAGTAGACCTTGCAGTATAACGGAAGAAAAAGGTGGACCCAATATTTGAAAAATGAATCACATATTGGAATTAGGACCACAATAATAATGAAAGAGTTATTATTACTATGGTTGCGATTGAAATTGAAATAACGCGGTTTAAGAATATTTTCCCGAGGAATTAAACAAAATGACGAAATTGTGTAGAAAGAACAAAAACATATTCAAGGTATGTAGTGAATGACTGTATGTGATGCCAAAAGGTCACGTGTTTGTGTTGCCCTCAAATTCTATCAATCACTAACTATATCATAACATAGTAATTATTAACCATATATAAATACATAAACAACTCACTTAACTTTCTCATCATAATCCTAACTAAGAGAAACTTAGGGTAATGGATCATTACCAACAAGCCGGTCAACATTGTTCTTCAACAAAACTCGAAAGAAAGATTATTGAGAAAAATAGGAGAAATAAGATGAAGAGTCTCTGTTCCAAACTCAACTCTCTTCTTCCTAACTATAATCCCAAGGTGGATTAACTCTTCTACTTCCATTTCTTGCATACAAAATTGTCTTAAACTTTTGTCATGTGTAATAAACTTTACATGAGTCCTATTTAATCATAGATTAATAGTAACAAATATTTATAGAAACCTTTTAAACCTAGGCATATTTTCATAGACAGTGTTGCGTGTATATATTATTATGGTAATTGTTTCACTTAGTTTTATAACACTTTCTTTTCAACAGTCACTCTAATAGTAATATTTATTCTAATAATATGTTTGATGATACTATATAATTTGGTGTTATTTTTCATTTCATGCTGATGATGCAGGAAGCTTTACCATTACCTGATCAAATAGACAATGCTATACACTACATTAAGAGCTTAAAAACAAATTTGAAATTGGCAAAGGAGTTGAAAGAAAGTTTAATTAGAAACAAGAGATCAAGTAGTGGCTGTTCGAGTTCTTCGGGTGCAAAAGGAAGCACAAAATCACCAAAAATAGAGATTCATGAAAATGGTTCTTCTCTACAAGTTATTGTAACATGTGGGGTTTATGATAAGTTCATTTTCTGTGAAATTCTAAGAATACTGCATGAAGATCACGTGGAGGTCATCTCTGCAAATTCTTCATTGGCTGGAGATTCAGTTATTCATGTTGTGCATGCAGAGGTATATACATACATGGATCTATTCTTTAATCTTAATAAATTTTAGCAAAGGAAATTAACACAAATAAACTTATGATTGATTTGATTTCTTTGATAATTGGGTTTCTGTAGAATCCACAGTCATTGTTTCAGTTTGGAGCAACGAAAGTAGGCGAGAGATTGAAAAGGTTTGTGAATGGATCTGCAAGCAAGGCGCAATTAATAGAGCCTCCAGTGTGGGATTTTGAGACTGGAACTGAGAATTGGGATTTAAATTCTGTAGTAAACAAGTGTTTACCAAATTGTTGATGAAGAACAAGAAGAGATACCACAAACAAATGCAGTGGAAGTTGTAACTAATTAAAATATAATTCATATCAGGATTCAAATATACTGTCAGAAGAAAATTGATTGAAATCGCTTTTATGAATCTAGAACATGTATCATGGATTTTGAAAATTTGCAGATATACATATATTTTTGCCCTACTTTTCTTATCAGCGATTTATTTCATATAATTAAGTGTCTTAATGTATGTGTTGTAGAAGTACATGTTTAGGAGGAAGAAGAGGGAGATGGTGTGATTAGTTCAGTTAATGGCATAAATAAGTTTGTGTATAGTGCAAGACCTAAGTCCCCTCTCCATCTTAAATTATTCCTTGATTAGGACTTAGGGTTTTGTTATAGATTTAAGAAAAAATGTTTTTATTTTATTTTTGCAAAAGATTTTAATAGAGATTTTTTAATATAATATAAAATAGGGTCATGCTAATCAGTGCACCCATAATTTATAACAATATATAAAGGAAAATCTCTTTTTTAGTGTAACCTATTTTCCTTCCAATTTTACCGTCAATGTAATTGTTTATTGACATTTTTTTTGATTTATTTGATTTAAATTGCTATCCCTTAAACTCCTCGTCAACTTTCTTATATCTTATACATAAGTAATTGATTTTTGCCCTACACAAGTCAGATCTGCTATTTTCAGTTGTGACGGTAATAAATGCCTCGGTACCGATGGTTTCAATTTCAAATTCATTAAGTCTTGTTGGGAGATTCTGGGCGACGATTTCTCGAATTGCATTTTGAAATTCTTCAAAACTGGTTACCTTCTGAAATCCTTCGCTTCTTCTTTCATCTCGCTTGTCTCGAAGACTAAAAATCCCCAACAATTCGAAGACTTTAGACCTATTAGCCTCGTCAGCTGTGTGCTGAAGGTTATTTCAAAGATGCTCGCGTGCAGGCTCAGGAAGGTTATTCATAAAATTATCTATCCTTTTCAAACTGCTTTCATCCCGGATCGGCAGATTTACGACGGTGTATTGTTGGCTAACGAGGTGGTTGATTTTGCAAAGAGATTCAATAAGGAATGCTTTTTCTTCAAAGTAGATTTTGCTAAAACTTATGATTGTGTGGCGTGGCTTTATCTAGATGCTTTTCTTGTAAAGATGGGGTTTGGAACAAAGTGGATGAAATGGATCTGTGGTTCTGTTTTCAATAGCTTCGTCTCCATTCTCATCATTGGCAGTCCGTCGAAGGACTTTAAGACTGGCAAGGGTCTGAAATAGGGCGACCCTCTTGCTCCGTTCCTGTTCGCTATAGCTGCAGAAGGGCTGTCTAACTTGGTGAAAACAGCGGTTGCTAGTAATATGCTTTCCCAATTCATGGTTCATGGTCAACCAACAGTGAGTATTCTCCAATTTGTTGATGATACTCTACTCATTGGAGACGGGTCGACGTCAAATATTTGGGCATTCAAAGCTATTCTTAGGGCCTTCGAGTTAATTTCAGGTCTCAAAACTAATTATTCCAAAAGTTGTTTGTATGGGATTCATATTGAACCTGACTTTTTAGTGGCTGCTGAAGATTTTCTTCATTGTAAATTGAGAAAGTTGCCTTTTAGCTTCCTTGGTATCATTGTTGGAGGTAACCATCAGAGATACTCTTTCTGGAAACCGGTTCTGCTGTGTGTGAAGAATAAACTATCCATCTGGAATAGAAGAAACTTATCTATGGGGGGTAGAGTTACCCTCATTAATTTGGTTCTTGCAAATCTGTCTATCCATTATCTGGCTTTCTTCAAGACTCCTCAAAAGGTCGTGAAGGATTTAATAGTGATCCAATGGCGGTTCTTTTGGGCTGGGAACTCGAGCAATTCTTTTGGGATATTATGACCAATGTGTCACTAAATTTTCATACCAACTTCTGCAAGTTCACGGTCTGCTCCATTGGAGAAGGTAACAATGCGGTGTTTGGGCAGTCAGTCTGGATCGACGACATGCCGTTAAAAGTCAGATTTAATGGCTTGTTTCAGTGTTGCCCTTTGAAGTCAGTGTCAGTCCGTGATATGGGATACTGGGAGGATGGGCAGTGGAATTGAAATCTAAGAAATTTGTTGTTGGATTCTGTTTCCCTTGAAAATCAGAAAACAACCACTGATCTTCCAAATCTAACTTTGGTGACTCACAGGATCGATCAGATTGATCCTAGGACATGTGCTAAAAGGATTTTTCGTTTTAAAAGTCTATCCAAGTTCCACACTCGAACAGTATTGGGGTAAAGGAATCTTAAAGAAACATCTATTCGACTACGGGATAATTTAAAGGTAAAATAAAGCTTTCAAATAAAAAGAGAGAAGAAAGTTTGTTTGGAGAGGTGAAGTTAGATTGAGGACGAAGAGAAAAGAATTGCATAAGAAGAAGAAGGAAAAGAAGTAAAGTAAGGAAGAAAGGTGCAAAGACAATAAAAGACTTCATAAAGTTTAAAGAAAAATAAAGTAAATTGCATTAAGTTAAAAGATGGTGTGTTTACATCACGTACATTCTCTATAATACTCGCTTTCTCTACACTAGGATACTTGGAGTAATTTTAAGAGTAACTTGTACAATAGTAAATTACAACACACTTGGCTATGTCTAAGACATCCTATTTATAGTAGTAAAAAATAACCTCTAATAACCTCCAACATCATCTCCTCTCGCCACTTGTCACAAATATATGGATCTACTGCTCATAAGGTGCCACGTGTCTTTCTTAAGAAAAACCGTTTCCTCCAATTTTTGAATTTCAAATCCTTCGACGAACCATCCATAACAACAAGCGGTCGAACTCCTGGCTTCTGGGTGAGTTCTTCGACTTCTTCTTCTGGCTGCTTTACCTCTTTCGACCAATCCCTCGTTCTCAACCTGCCTTTGGCCCTTCTATATTAAATTCCTTCCTTCTACATGAGGCGTCTGTCGCTACTGCGAAAATCGGCGCCGGCTGAACAGAAGAGTCGCCACCGTGCGTTATTTATCCCACGGGAGGGAAAGGGAACGCTCAGAGTAAACCTCGCAAAGACGGGAAAGGTATGGTCGTCGCAACCAAAACCTGGGTTCGGGAGTCGGTTACGCAAGGGGAAGGTATTAGCACCCCTCACGTCCGTCGTACTCGACGGGATCCACGCTTGTTTTCGGGTATGGATTGTTATTCTATCTACGCTAAAGGTCTGGGGTTAAAAAGAAAATAAAATGGAAATAAAAGTGACTCGGCAAAGTATCGCACTTTATGCCTACGTATTCCCGTCTGGAACGAGAAATCAGAGTCAACGTAGTTCGCCTACCTACGGGAAAGGAGGGGAAGGTTGCTCTCTAGGATATCGCATCCTATGCCTACGTACTTCCACACAGCATGGAAGATCAGAGCAAACGTAGTTCGGGCCACGTACGACACAAGTCTGTCTTGATTGATTTTATTCCTTCTGAAAAAGGGTTTTTCTGATTAACAGTCCAAGAGGACAAAAATGACGTTTTGATGAGTTCACATTCTTTTACGAAAGAAGTGTCTTTTATTGTGTTTGAAATCCTTATGTGTTTTTCTGTTTGTTTTGAGAAAGAAGAGACAGAACTCTAACCTACGGTTGCGAAGGGAAACAAACTAACCTAATGTTATCATGCATGGGTTAAGACCTAGTGTCTATCATGCTCCTCTCTTGCACAGAGAGAAACAGAGATCCTACGGGATAGGCAGAAACAGAAACAATAACAGATATATACAGTAAAACAGTAAAATGCATGGATGCAACAGTACAAGCGAGGCAAGGGAGTCCCACTCAACCTCGAACCTAGAAAACAATAGGCAAAAGTGAACAGGCTTCACTTTCAACCCAACAGGGTAAACAGCAAACAATACAACCAGGAAAACCAATCAATACATCAGCAATGAAATACAACAGCAAAAGAAACAGCATCAGCAGGTCTGAATCAACATCTAGCTCCAAGTAATCTCCACTCAGCTACAGGCTTCAACAAGTATTAATCTCCATCTTCATGGCCTTCAGGCAAGGGCTTTGATCATCTGTCTTCTACAAGCAATGGCTTTTCTTCAAGCTCAAACCTCCAGGATGAGGAATCAGTCACAAGAGTGAAGTGAATGAATGTTAGACAGTTAATTACCTACCAAGGGTGGTTCATCAACTGTTAACATTAAACAGAAAGTTTCCTCTCAAAAGTTCTATCTTTCAAATATATTCACTGATCCTTCCAAAGGAAGGAGGTGGATATTTGAAAGAGACTTTGAATCATAGAGGAAGGATGGATGCAGACAAGGCATGCCATGTTTGAGAAACAAGCTTTCTAATCTAGAGCTCTGCCTAGCTCCTAAACCCTAGTTCCTCAGCATCTGCTAGCAAGAACCTCCTCTCCAACTCTGGCAGTTGATCTTCAATCTCTGGATCTCCAATGGTCTTCATCTCCTCAAGTCTTCAGCTCTCCCAAGTCCCCAGACAATCCCAATACCCAAGCAAACAAGCAATAATCCCCAGAGGGCACACCACACCAGTCAATCAGATATACAGACATTATTAATAGCAGTAGGGGAATCCTGACTTTTTTCTAAGGGGATCTAATAACTACCCATAGCCCCTATAGTCCCATAACTAATCTAGTTAAATCCTAAGTCCTAAGGGAAATGAATTGAACTTCCTAAGTCATCATCTAAAAACCCTAATTTGTTCATGTTATTCAAGCCTACATTAAGCACCTAAAATTAATCTCTAAAAATGGGAACTAAATTGTTTCTACAAGTTCAACATCTAATCTAAACAACCTAAAAAGAATGAACAAAAAATATGAAAGCATTTAATAGAACAAAAATTAGCAAAATCATGCATGAAATGAAACTACTTAAAATGACATTTATTTAGAAAATATGGAAAAAAATATCAAATAACAATAAAAATGCAATTTTATTTAATGACAATTTTCTACACATTCTAATGAAAATGATGTAAAAAGAATGAATTGAAAATGATTTTTTATGTATTTATT